CTCGAAAATGGGGATCAGGCTGAAAACTGGTATCATATATCGGGGTTACATGAGCACAGTAAATACGTATTTAGCCGCTAATTCGAATTAGGAACGCATTACCGACTCATGTAGCCACCTGCTAGTACGAATCGGCGATCCGATCCGCGGTTACATGAGCAAAGCAAATACGTATCACGATCGGATTCACCGCTAATGCGAATCAGGAGCGTACTACCGACTCATGTATCCACCTGCTAATACGAATCGGCGGTCCGAACAAAATCCGCTGAGAAACAGGCTTAGAAGCGAATAGGACCAAGATACGTATTACAGGAACTATTTCTTCGCAAAAAGAAACATAAAAATGCAAAATAATAGGTATTTTTTTCATTTTCTTCTTTTAAAATAATATTTAAAAAATATGTCGGTATTTTGCCAAGTTTTCAACAATAAATATAGTGAAAACCAAATAGTAAATATCCACATAATTTCAGTTGAAACATTTTTCTGACAGCACTACAGACGAATCAAGAGAGGCAATTGCCCAATGAGTCAAAGCAAGACAACTTTATGTTCAACTTTTTTTTGTTAAGTTAATTGAGAATGTTTTGAGCAGATTAAATGCAAAAAAGACATAAGATAATAAATTTTTAATTTAGTCACCTCTATTGCTACGGAAGTGCGCCACATTTGTATGCTATTCCGTTTGTAATGCGCATCGGGCCGAGAGCCAAACTAGATCCGTTTGACGTCACTGATACGAATTTGCTCATGTAGTCGGTGCACTGAATGCGTTCTTGGGGAGCTGATGCGAATTAGCGTATTGCGTATTTGGAACGGATCGCTCATGTAACCGAAACGTCCGAGGCACACGATTCGGGCCGTTTTTCACAAGAACTATTCTTTGCTGACTGGAAGCGTCAAAATGCAAAATACTTAACAATTTTGTTATTGGCTGCCTCGTAGAAAATAGCAAAAAAATGTTGGTATTTTGGTTTAGTCTTTGCATGTGAAATAAAATGAATGAAATATTTTGATAGATAATTTTTTCTGACCACCCTGCTGTCGCTGCATGGCGAATCAGTGGCCACTGACTTAAAACAAGAAAACTTTGTTTTCATTTTTTGATTTCATGTTAATTTTAAATGTTTTTGAGCCTATCAAATGATATAAGTATTTAAAATTTAGCTCAGTCGTCCCGGTAAATGCCGCAACTGCGCCATGACTGTACGCTAATCCTATTCCGTTTGTGATGCGAATTACCGGCCGTCGAGGAGTCAGCCCGGGTGAGCCAAACAAGATCCGTTTGACGTAGATAAAACGAATTAGTCTCATGTAACCGGTGCCGTAGATCCGTTTGTGGGGAGCTGATGCGCATTAGCGTAGTGCGTATTTGGAACGGATCGCTCATGTAACCCCGGTAATAGTGAGACTAGTTTTAGAGCTTGACACCGATAATGGGTACTGACTGAGCCAGTGGCGGCGGAAGGTATTTTGGGATGGGGGGGCACACCTGATCCTTCCCGGAACCTAGGGTACCCCCAAATCTAGTTTTCTCACCGGTTTTAGGCCACTTATTTTTCACCTCTTGGCCTTTACAACAAAAATAAAAAATAAAACATTTGCAAATAAGTGAGATAATTAGTCTCATCTGAGTCAAGAAACTACCTTTTTGGTAACCTGGAATAAACGTTAAAAGCTTCCACACATGAGCTGTCAAGTCAGGTACGGGGACCCGCAGTTGCTACTGTACAGCGACCCTGAGTAAATTGTCCCAGCACCCTCACAGGGAACAACGATAAGCTGTCAGAGGGCACGCACAGAAAACCTCAGCTGCTCTTGTGCAGGGACCGGCAGTCGATATCAATGTTATCGGTTGTTACTGGACAGGACAGACGGCTAGAGTTGGGGTTCGTGTACAATAGCAACTGCGGGTCCCCGTACAGAGGGGGATTTTTTTACTTAAATAGGTATTGTCATCCATTCAGCTTTTCTTTGAGGCCCTCGGCCGCTAATATGGGGAGGACAAGCTGCCCCGACGGTTCCTGGCCCTTTGAAACTTTGCGGGGGCAGAGACCCCCACGGCCCCAGAGTTGTGGGGGCAGGCTGCCCCCATGCTGCCCCCCGGCTCACGCGCCTATGCCGGCTGGCGTCTGGCAGAGTCGCGGGGAAAGGCCTGTGGCACGCTCAGACGCACTTTCGTGACGTCCGTGCCGCCTGCCGGGCCACTCGCGTTCCGTCCTACTCTTCCAGACTTCGGTTACCGGTAGCTCGTAGATAGCTCTGCTTGATTTCTGAGCATTATGTGTGGAGGGCGTTTGGTGGAAATAGTCCGTCACGGACTAGCTCGCCGGATAGCCCGTCGTGAAAACTGCTATTATCAATCCAAGTTACTCGCTATATCAACTTAATAAAAAGGTACTCAGCCAAACTGGCATATGTTCCTGACGTAGGTAGTATGGAAGTATTGTGGTACTTCGTCGATAACAATTTTGGGGGGGCAAAAAGATATGTTTGCCCCCCCACCCTGGAAGATGGGGGGGCGCCGTGCCCCCGCTGCCCCCCCGCTTCCGCCGCCACTGGACTGAGCTCTGTTTCTGCGATCAATGATACCGATTTAAGGGATCGTATGAGCCCATGTGGCGCTAGCTCAGAAAGTGTTCTCGAAATGTGCTGTCTGTTTTGAATATGGTACATTAGCCCGAAAACTGGTCTCTGAGCCCGAAAATCGGGACACTGTTTTCTCAGTGTAGGCATACCTGACCTTTGATTCAAGCCGGATCTTGTGACACCAACCAGATTTTCAGGTCAGGTCAGGTTACTGACCTATGACGTCATAAGTGGACGGTCCTCAGATGCCGCAACTTCGCAACGCCCTCAGTCCCAGAGGAGCTTTTACAGGGGATGAAACTTACAGAACGTGCATCTCCTATGTAGAAGTCTCACAACTTGTACCTCTAGGATTTTTCCTAAAGATCACATGAGGTCAGGTCGGTCACGTGACCTCAACACTATAAGTCAATTGATAAAAATGAAAACTGCTATTCTGGCGCCGGGAGCAATCTCAAACTATTGCAAGCACACGGATCGTGATTTCATGCACTCCTTGCAAAGGTTAGAAGCTTCAATTTTGCATTGTTGACGTTGCGTGATTATGACGTCACTAGGGTCATAAGAGCTTTTCGTCAATAACTCCCGATCAAACTGAGCTAGCGAGTCGGTCAAGCCACCAATGGACTGAGGAAGACCTGCCGAATCGAATAAAATGCAACATGACGTCTTTTGACCAATTTCACGACCTAGGGGTCTCTGACCTGACCTTGACCCGAGGTCAACACCCCAAGTTGACCTCATCGGAACAAAAAGTATACCATTCGACACGCCTGAGCAAGACGAGCACGTTTATGCTAAAATCGCGCTCTGCAACTGTTTTTTTTTTTAAAGTTATTGATCAAAAACCGAACCCGTGTCTTGGGTCCCATGACCCGACCTCAGAGATCACCAGTTGACCTGAGACCTTAAAATCGGGTACTAGCTGTTGTGTCTCCTAACGGCACACACGCTCGTTTTTTCCCGCGACGCTCTAAATCCAACGGGGGCGAAAAACGACGAGGGGGTCGTACCAGCCCTCCCCCCGGCCGGTGCGTATGTAGAAAACCAACAGGTCCTGCGGGGTTAACTCTCGCCCTTATTGGTGTTTTGCTAGCTGCAAACGCAAAAGGCGGGGCTAGGTTATTGGTTGACCTTCCAGGTCAGGCCAGTGACTCAAAAGTCGGGAAAATCGGGACCTATGACCTTTAACAGGTCATACTTCGGAGAGTTAGTTGATACGAGGTTTTTCGGGGCGCTGATCACGAATTTCATGTTAGCTTTGATCACCGATGATGTCTTGATGCTTTTAGGCCAGGTCGGGTCAGGTCAGGTCAGGTCAACCAGTAGGCGTCTTGCTAGCTGTCCATAATAGGTGTCAACCAACACTGACAGCTTCGTGACATTGTAGGAAGGCGCCAAAATTACTTCGTAAGCCTAAAAATTATGAGCCCAGAAGAAGTGAACTAAGGTCATCAAAGGTCAATGACCTTGACCTGACATTCACGTGACCTTGACACCCACCATAATGCATGGGACCACCATCATTTCACATGTTTGAACGTTTACGATCACAAAAAGACTGGAAACGAGCGGATAATGGCCGTTTTTACGAAGGGCTTCCTGGCGAATGTCCATCTAATTTGAACAAATCTGCACCAAATGTGCACCTTATCTGCACAAAATGTGTACTATAGATGGCCGTCGTGAAATACTCCTGAGCTGCATGTTCAAATTTTGTTCCCCTTTTCTTTTTAAATGAGCTAGATTGAACAAGATTTTCATTGGACAAGATTGTTGACGGCCCTCCTGTGAAACGAGACTCGATGAATTCTTAAACTCCCTAGTTATTTTGTAACAACCCTAGGTTCGTTGCATACTAACTAGGGAGATTGCAACGACCCTAGTTTCGTTACAACGTCCCGGAATGAGCAGTTATTTTGTAACGTCCCTAGGGTCGTTGCAAACAAACTGATCGTTCAGGGAGGTTACAACCACCCTAGGGTCGTTGCAAACTAACTGAAATCGCATACTCCCTGTAACACATCGATAGTTTTTGGTGACAGAAAAGCTGATATCGGGAAGGAAAACAATGAGCTTCGTCGAAAAACTCATGTTTGAACGGTCAATGCTGCAGAAACTTTCTATAGTGATGTTGTTCACAGAAGTTAATAGTGTTGTTCTGGAAAGCAATGACATACGACAGAAATAATTACGTCTGGAATATGGAATGCGGAAGGTAAAAATGGAAGCGTTACATGTATATGTGTTATGTGTTTTGATCAATTCATCGCATTATTCCTCTTTCCGTCAGTAGCCGCCTGGTGCCTATTAATAGAATGCTGCCCCCTGTAATCGTTCGCTAATCCTGAAGTGTGTTCCGTAGCTTCAAATCACGATCTCCGGATAACGACGTATTGACTGTTGTAGATGATGACACATGTATATTTTTTTCTATCCCATTGCACATGGTCGTCGAAACTGAAGCAGTGTTCGACAGCACATAGGCATGCTAGTACATCAGTAGTATCACATGAGTTATTATTTACAGTCACAGCTTTATCAGATTCCGCATGTTTAGCAGATCAGGTATCCAGCATCTCCAGCTTTGATCCGTTTCTGCAGTTGTCTCGGCGGTGTATGGGTCACGTGACACCACTCAAACGACCAAGAAGCTGGCCAGATCACTGTCGGTTTCCCAGGCCATGGAAGCAGGATCATTGTGGCGTTTCTGGAATCCGTCTATGGGAAGACCGGGGTCCTCAAACACCGGCAAGTGGACGGGCGGAGTGCCAGCCTGTGACGAATAAAGCAGGGTCAGTTTAGAAGGAGTTTACGCCAACAATTAAGTCCGGTAGTATACCAAAAAACACACCAGTTATGACAGTTAACCTCACAGAAACAGATAACCCTGTAGACACCGGTTGAATAGGTTATGCATGGGTTTCAATTAATGAGGTTAGAGTTATTGCGCTTTGACCTAAAATGAAAACATTATTGATGATTTGGTTATTGCTATCCGATATCTCTGCCTCTGTGAAGTGAAAATTCCACAACAAATCGATCTTCCCACACTGGGTCAATGTATGTACTATGAGCCATTTTAGTCGTTTACGGTTTAACAATCACTGGATCAGTCGAAGAAGCCCCGAGCTTCACTATAGCCCAGACCACTCACCATGGTCACAACTCTGTGGCTCTCAGTGACAGGGGATGTCGGCTGACCACCCGCTGGTGCCGAGACCCTGAAACGTTACCGTTAATATGAATAGGAAATAAATATATAACAGGCATCATAGGACAACGTATAAGACAGGTTTAAAATGAAAACTGTTTTAGTGCCTACTGCCTACATCAATCCAGCAATAAACAGAGCAAGCATCCTAGATCATATCAGAAGTCTAGCATGTAGATTAGCGTTCTGGCTCAGCCGCAGGAAAGTAATGATTGATCGCAAGGTGGGCCGCAGCTAGCGTACCTAAACTACTTCTTTTACACGTTTCCTCAAACAGTTCAGGCACCGTTCACCTCGAGTCAGGTCACCAGGAAAAAAATCAGTACGTGGTCAATTACCTACTGTGGCCACTAACCTGGTATATGCGATTTGAGGAGAGCTGTTATGCATAACGCCACATGTTGGCTGGACGAACTCGTATAGCTCCCGAATCGAACACGGTCTGTGGCAGCAGGCCTCTACGATGCTTTCACCTGAAATGTGACAGAAGAAAGGCCGTGACCATAAACTGAGTGTGCATTATTTGGTGAGCTTCATATCTATTTGGACCAATACGGCATTGCCTTGGACACATGTCGGTGACAAACATAAGTAGCTTTCAACGCGAAGCATTATTATAGAAATGTTGGCCTCACTCATCTTACAGCCAATGTCCCCTTCCCTAACGTACGGCTCATAGCAGAGGAGATTTGCCGCACGGTGACTGCGCTGCCGCTCCGCCTGCGACGATCGTGGCAGAGGCTCTCGATGAAGTCGGTCAACTGCGCTCCACACATGCGCACGTTCATTCCACGCTTGGCGTAATGTTGTTGGTTTCGGGTTGACCTCGCGGAGATAGCATCAGACCCTCCTGTGCTGTCTTGCGACCCCCACGCCTGTTCGCCGCGGCCTAGTGTGGCGGGCCGGCCTACCCACCAGGGGCGCAATAGGCCCTGGGGCGCCGCGGCCGGTCGGCTAGCTTCCTCGGGCAGCCGCCAGAGGCGCTGGTTGTCGGTCAGCGGGGAGAGTGGTAGCTCCATAGAGGACCGACCTGATGCCGCATTGGCGCGATGGTAACTAGCGCCATCTACCGTTGTCCAGACCAGCAGGAGAAACAGAATGGGTTGCATCATCTGCCAAGAGAAACCAGGAAGTATATTTAAAGCATACCTATCACCTATTTTCATAGGTCCTATAACGTGTAAAAGACCATTTCTTTTGACACTTGTTTAACGGTTAAGAACAATGCAGGATAAAAGGGAAAGCCGAGACAAGTTTCAATTTTTGTTTCTTTGTATAGGTCTTCCAATAACTGTATTCAACGCTTACTAACCGATGGATTCTCACCTGTGCAGCGGTGTGAGACGGCGCCGGTCAGGTCAGGTCAGGTCAGCCGCCGCTGGTGACCAGATAGATGCGCTGGTCACGCCGGGACGGACGACACTGACGCTGACCGAGCGAGGTGCGCTTCCTTTTGAACGGTGACGAGGCCCGGTCTCCACGTGGGAGTCGGACCGACCGTCGGGATGGTCCGCTCCGATCATCGCCGCCGGCACCGGAATCGGCGGCCCACTAAACCGGCGTCGCATTAGCAGGCTGTTCATTAGATGATTTGGTCGGCTTCCGTACTGAAAGGTCCGAAATCGGATAGATGACGTCGGCTAATTGACGGCTGCGCGGAACTAAATGAAAATTGCTCAATGCACAATAGCTTCTCCGAATGGTGTTGATTAAGGTGTTGATGATAACCGAACAACCTAATTTATTGGAAAATGGTACAGAGGGAACTGAAAGCGTAAGAAGAGGAAACTTAGAATTCACAACAAATCTACCTATCCAGCTCAAATTAATAGGTACCTAAACCAATTAGAAGTCAGATGCTTAATGTTCCCGTCCTGGAAGAGAAAATTGATTCTTCTTTGTAAGCAATCAAACAGGGCCTAGGCTAACATGTTAACTGGTGGGCCAAACGTTTTTCTTTATTCGTAGAAAAACTACGAATAAAGAACAGATTCAGACAGTCGGGGATAAGCCTGCGAGCGATCTCAGACGGCTCGCCTATATACACGATATAAGCCAGAAACTAGAGGTAGTGTCGAGCGTCGGCGACTTCCAGCCGATTGAAGTCTGCAAGCGATATTATGCGTCTTCACGACCGGTATGATGCTTGCAGTCACACATCTGACCAGTCAGACGAATTTCGAACCGTTCACAGTCAGCGTTCCAAAAATTTGTCATTTGGGCTGAAGATGACACTCAAGAATAAGAATGGATAGTTTTCCACTCTCACATTTTGGGTGGCTAGAATTTTCCACTCAGACACCCAAGAGAAATCAGAAGTTTGGAGACACTGTTCACCAGAAGTGTACATAACTTTTTTAGAAGATATTAGGGTTGTGCAGTGCGCTTGGGCTTTTGAGTCAATTCTTTTCCATGCGACACCAATAGGCTTAATGATCATTTTCAGAGATGTTGGGGTTGCTGCTACAACCCCCTTTTGGGGTTCCTGCTACAATCCACTTTATATATAAAGTTGCACTCGTGCTGTTCACAATTCCTCCCGATCCACCCGACAACGCCCGATCCCGTCCGACAGCTTCCGAATCTCCGACTAGTCGGCGAGCGATCCACTCAGGGCTCGCTGATTTTTAACATCCGACCGGCCGCAAGTTATCGTCCAAAGCTTTACAAACTTATTAATCTGCGTCAATATTTTGTGCATACTTGTGCGATTTTATGTGCACCGCCGGAGTATCACCACTGAGAGGGTTGTGGGTCCCTACTCTCTCCTCTCTCTGAAGAGTCGGGGGGGGGGGGGGTCGAGCCCCGTTTTTTTACATTTTTTAATGTCATCCTGACGGTTTTTTTTTTTGCAGAATAAAGTGGCCGAAATCTGGGGAGAAATCGAAAATTGGGGGGGGGGGGCTATGGCTACGAAGGTCAGTCCATGTCGCTGCCCAATTGGCCCACCAGTCAAAATTCCTTAGCTGAGGCCCTGCAATCAAATCTATATTTCTAAAGTGCATTAAAATGCTAATGTATGCAGGTATGTTGCATAGTTACCAAAAGCAAGTACGTAGTCAGCAATTGCCAAGCCAATTACCCAAAACACCCCATTCATTGTCCACAGAGCTCGGACGTGCAGCATGATAATTCTCTCCTACTTGCAATAAATAGCTTCAAATCATCGTTAATGCCGGCTCCCGTCTCTGCTGTGAGTCTGCTGTCGCCGCCGCAACCGGCTTACCTGCTGAGCCGGGCCGGTCGAGCAGCCCGGTGGGATGGAGACCACCGCGGGCTCTCCACCGCCCCTGGGCACCCCCGGGCGACGATATCGGACAAATCAGCCAGTCGACCCATCGGATAGTTCGACTTCATTGGTCAGAGTGCTGTTCGCTAATCGCGCTGAGCCGGAGTGATTAACAATAATTGAATACCATGAAACCAAAACAGCACATTACCAACAGCTATATTATAATGAGTTATGAAATATTTGCTAACCAAAATAAAGACGATGACAATAAAAAAATCTTTCAATGTGCCAAAACTAAACGGATCTAAATAGCATGCAAAAAGCAAATTGAGCGGCTACATACCTTCCCGGCCAAGGGTTTTTTTAGTGTCACTCTCTCTGATGGTTTCTACTTTTCTCGCGATTCTGTAGCGTTCGAAAGCTGAAATTTGGGATACCTTATTTTGCATTAAGACCGGAATCTAAACACCGACCGCACTTTTCACGCCAGGTCATGTCACTGATCTGTGAAGTAGGGGAGAGTGGGACGAAGTGGCCAGCCGGGACAAAGCGGCCAACGCGGTTTTAACCCTGCACTACTGGCGTCAGCTCCAGATTATGGTTGACAATCACATTTCTCTTCGTGGTCGTTCGAATGAGCTAGACCGGGGTTTCCGACGAACGAAAAGGCATATATTCCCAGGTTATTCTCATCATCCCAATATTTTTAGGCTTTTTAAATGCTATTTTATGTCATAACCGTCTGGAGGTTTACATAAGAGTTATTCCTGCATTGAGTGGCTATTGTGCACGTCATCTGCCAACTTTAGTTAGTTGTGCTCCAATTATAATATAGCTGTTTTTTTTCGGATGGAAGGCGCGGAGCAAAATGGACGGAGCAGAGTGGAAAGCTTCTAAGATATTGAAATGTATCGTCATGCGCTCATTTCGGCCACTTCTTGGTTACATGAGTTATCCAAATAATGCAATTAGGTATATGTTTTTCCATGAATGTTCATGCATTGTTTACTTACAGGTGAACGACGTGTAAACATCTACGTATGTCATCTATAAACATTTATCCTCTTTTAATCCTTTTTATCAATAAAAACTTTATTCCTACATGAGGCTACTGTCCTGTACCTCATATTAGGGCAAGGAAGTCGCCGGTGTCCGCTTTGCCCCGGGGTCTGGGCATAGTGTCAAAAATGCATTGATTTAAAGTTTTGCCAATATCTCCTATATGTGAAGGCTTTTAGAAATGAAACGAAGTTGAAATAAAAGGCAATTTAGGAATCAATTGGACTTAGAAAGAATCTTCCCGAGTTTAAAAATCAGGGTCGGCATCGTAAGAAGCGTTAGAGTGGCCGCTTTGCCCCACTCTCCCCTACTTATGAAGTCATTGACTGAACCTCTGCAGGCCGCAAATGTATTGGCACTAGTTCAACGAGCCACCCTTGAGTTCGGGATTGGATAACGAATTGATTGGTATAGTAGGTATGCAACATGACTTCACTTGATCATTTTCCTGGTCTGGTCAGCTTTGACCTGCCCGTGACTTAATGCCGAACACGATCTGCTTCTTTTTTTTTTTACAGATCAGCTAAGGGAAGGTGGGGCAATATGGGCACCTTAAAAAAATGAGTCTCCCGTTCCTCAAGGAATGAAGAAAAAAATTGTGAGTAACCCTCGCCGGCACAGAGGGAGGGGGGGGGGGGGTTGTTGCAACCACCTCTAAGGTTTTTCGCGAATAACTCGCGTAAAAAGCGGCCGATCACAACGAAACTCTCAGTGATCTCGCATTGATCAATTTTACACCTACCCTGAAAATTTCATGACCCTGACCCAAATGACCTTTGACCTGTGAGGCTGTGACCTATTTTCCGAGATCAAGTTTGGCCGGAATCACGATTCGACGCATGTCGGCTCGCATTAGCCGGGCATTTGCAGGCTTTTCGTGGTTTCAAACGTTCAAACATGTTATTTGATGTTGCTCCCATGCATTAGAGTGGATGCCAAAGTCACCTGAAGGTCAGGTCAGGTCATTCACCTTTGATGACCTCGGTTTACTTTTTCGAGTTTTACATGTTTTTGGCCAGTTTTTTTAGCTGAATTCGAATTTAGCAGCCATATGAACATTTACGAAGTTGGTTTGGTGCCTTCGTAACATATTACGAAGCTGTCAGAGGCGGTTGACACCTACGGCAGGACCCCTACTGGATGACCTTGCCTGACCTGACCCAACCTGGCCTAAATGCATGAAGACATCATCTGTGATCAAAACGAACATGATATTCGTGATTAGCACTCCGAAAAATCCCATAATAGCCATACCTTACGACGTTCCAACAGGTCCCGAATTTCGCGCGACTTTTGGGTCATTGACCTGACCTGGAAGGTCAACCAATGACCTAGGACCTTCAAATTGGGTATCATCGGTTTTCTCTTGTCACGGGCAACACGCTCGTTTTTTCCGCGAAGCTATAGCTCGATTCGGGGTGAAACGGCAGGGGGTCCAATGGACCCCCCTGCCGTTTACGACCCGCCCCCCCCCCCCGCTTATACGTTCCCGGCTGGAAAAACACCAATTCGGGCGAGCGTTAAGGTTGTTTTCTTTTGGGGGGGGGGGCACCCGGTATATTTAGCACATACACGTTACCTGTGAACCAATTATGAGTTACTGAAATGGGAACAAATTTTGTACCTCTTCTTTTTGTATTTTGCACGTGCAGTGGGGGTCACTCTTTGGTAGAAGGGATGCAGCTACCCTATAAAATTACCGCAAGACAATCGCAAAGCCGCTCCTGAGATATGGGCCTCTCAAAATCATTGCTTTTGCAAAACTGCTTGAACACCCTTGACTTTTCACGTG